GGGGTTGCTGGGTAGGTGTTGGGCTGGGGTGATGTCTGCTCCTCTAGGGAGGGACTCGTACAGGCTGTACCTGAGACCCAAAACTTCCCTTGCAAGACACAGGTCTGAAATCTCTTTGGAAGACAAGGATTTAGAGCTGCTGCCAGCTCTTCTTGCTCAGATTCACCCACTGACACCAGGCTGATTTTCCACATTGCCAGGCTGTACAATTGAGCCATTTTGTGTGACTAGTGTCCTCTTGTGCTTTAAGAAATGACACATGCCGGGTGGTGGTGGCGCACACCTTTAATCCCAGCACTCGGGAGGCAGAGGCAGGCAGATCTCTGTGAGTTCGAGACCAGCCTGGTCTACAAGAGCTAGTTCCAGGACAGGCTCCAAAACCACAGAGAAACCCTGTCTCGAAAAAACCAAAAAAAAAAAAAAAAAAGAAAGAAAGAAATGACACATGATGCTATTTTACTGTGAAAGAGTTGTCAAGATGCCTATTTAGAGGGAAGTTCACCAAGTCAATTCCACAGATTTTTCTTTTTCTTTTTTTTCTTTTCTCTTTTACTTTTTTTTTTTTAAGACAGGATTTTATTCTGTGTAGCTTTGGAACCTGTCCTGGAACTTGCATTGTAGACCAGGCTGGCTTCGAACTCACAGAGATCCGCCTGCCTCTGCCTTCTGAGTGCTGGGGTAAAAGTATGTGCCACCCCATCGGCTCTACTGGGTTTTTTTTGGGGGAACATAGGAGGTTGAGATAGGGTCTCTTGTAGCTCAGGCTGGCCTTGAGCTTGTGATCCTCCTACTCAGCCTCCTGAGTGCTGGGACGTCGTGTGTGTTGTCACGTGTCTTACCTCCAACTCTCTGTGTTCTGGAAGAAAATGGGGGAAGAGCTGGCGTATCTTCAGGTAGGACGAGAAGCAACAGCCATTTGGAAGTTGTCTTTTGACCACGCGTTTCCTTTTTTTATGCCAGTTCCCAGCTGTGTGGCTTTGATGAACTTCTTAAAGTCTCTGAGCCTCAAATGTCCCACTAGAGAAACATGCTTTGATGACAGCTGTGTGCCACCTTGCCCCATGCAGGGGGTGAAATTCCAAGCTCTGCACATGCCAAGGGGGGCTCTACCCGCCAAGCCCCAGCTCCAACCCTTCTTTAATAACATACACACATCTTTTATTTTTGTGTACCGATATTTGCTTATGTGTATGTCTATGCACCACGTTGGGTGCAGTACCTGCATAGGTCAGTAGTGGGCGTTGGATCCCTGGGAACTACAGATACAGATGGTTGTGGGTGCTGGGAATCGAACCTGGCTCGTCTGTTAGCCGGTGTGCTATCCACTGAGCTAACCTTCTGCTCTGCTTGGGGCTGACCTTAAGTTTATGGCCTGAGATCAGGTCATTCTGTCCCTGCCATCTGCAGCCTTTTTTAGACCTCCAGAGAAGGGTGTTGGATGCTGAGGCTGCGGTCACTGTGCAGGCATCAGGCTGGCTGAACGCAAAGGGCAGGCGCGGGAAGGGCGGGCGCACGAAGGGCAGGTGCGTGGGCACACACAGCAGCAGGTGTTTCCTGCTGCTCAAGGCTTTGAGCCCACAGCATCTGGGATGAGGCAAGAGGGTAGCCAGCCCTTCCTTATGCCAGACCTCAAGGCGACCCTCAGCATTGCATCCTGTGTCTCCACGCGTGGGTGACTTGGTAACATAATACAGAACTTGAAATCTCAGAAGGAGACAGGCTCAGGTTGTCATGAATGGGGGAGGGGTGATGTCATTGGCCTGGGCTCCGTGGGGGCTGGGAACTCAGCTCAGCACCCTGCAGATCCCAGCACTCCCCACCCAGAACAACCAGGAAGAGTGTTCGCACTGCCAAGGTGAAGGTGACTGGAGATGAGAGAGCCTTTTGTGCTGGGAAAGTCGGGAAAGGCGGCCACGGGGAACCAGGGCCACCAGCTCAGCAGGTTCAGCTGACCTTACAGAGTGAGGCACAGCGGGCCCAGAGCTGGTGACAGCTCATCCAGTCTCCAGGACTGTGGAGGACAGGGACCCACAGCGGGTCTACTTGTCTGAGAACAGGGTCACGTAGCCCAGGCTGGCCTCAAGCTCACCGTGGAGCCCATGCTGAGTGCCAGGGTGACAGCAAGTGCCCTCACACCTGACTTATGTGCAGGGGAGAGAATCTGGCTTTGCGTGTAATGGGTGAGCCCGGCACCCACTGAGCCTCAGCCCCTTCAATAAAACAATATGCGGACAGTTTGCAGTCCCTCCGGGGCTTTGAGCTCGTGAGGGAGGGCCGTGCTGTGCACTCAGCGTCATGGAGCCAAGAGGTCCCTGTTGTGTCTGCTCAGCTCCCCTAGACAGTGGTGAAGGAACAAGGTGGGTGCGCCTCTCAGTGGACTTGTTGACAGGAGCAAACTGAGGCCACATTTCACCTGTGGCTTTGATCTGACTCCTTTAAATCTGCACGACTGAATCCAGTGACCCCAAGCATTTTGTTTGTTTTTAACACCAGGCACTGAACCCCGTGCACACCAGGCACTGAACCCCGTGCACACCAGGCACTGAACCCCGTGCACACCAGGCACTGAACCCCGTGCACACCAGGCACTGAACCCCGTGCACACCAAGCAAGCACTCTACCATTGACTGGGTTTGGGGGTGCACACTTCAGGAGGATGAGGTCAGAGGATCTCTGTGAGTTTGAGGACAACCTGGTCTATGTTGTGAGTTCTATGCCAGCCTGGGCTACATAGACCCTGTCCCCAAAATTGAAATTTAGTCATCAGGCTTGGCAGCGGCGCCTTTACCTGCTGAGCCAACTCACTGGCCCTCTTCCACATTTTATTTTGAGACAAAGGCTGGCTGGCCTTGGACTCCCTCTGTGGCTCAGGCTGGCCTTGGGCTGGTCTTGCTCTTGTTCCTTAGCCAGGCTTATTCATTGCTGGTTGTTTTGTTATTGTTGTTTTGTTTTTCTTAAACAGGGTCTCACTGTGCTTGCCCAAGCTGACTTCAAACTCAGAGCAATCCTTCTGCCTCAGCCCCACCCAAACAGACTATAGGCTTGTACTGCCAGCACTCCATTCTTTCAATCATTCTGATTCACTCTGGTTTTCTAGAACTTTCCACCCATAAAGCTGTTGTTGTCTTCCAGTCCAGCCCCAGCTCCACCCTCCACAAGGCTCACGGGTGGCTCACGGGTGAGGGCACCCTGCTGCCACATCCACCCTTGACGTTCTGAAAGCTTCTTGCAGCACAGCCCCCTACATGGGGGACCATCTCTCCCACCTGTCCCCTCCCTGAGCCGATCCCTCTCTAATTTGCATATTCTGTTTTTAGCATTTTTTTCTGGATTTTACATAATCGTGTCATTAGGAGGCTGTCATGGGAACCAAACGCTCCCTTTTCAAAGTACCTTCTGGAGCTAATTGCATGTCTACTAGCTCCATTTCTTTTTAAAATGAATTTTACATGTTGGGATATATTGACTGAACAAGCTACTTTAGGAGGCCGGAACAGAGGAGTCCCCGCGTGCCCCCAAATGATGTCCGCATGACTTAGGTCTTAGGGTGACCCCTTGTTCCTCCCACAGTGAAGCAAGGCTGAGCTCCTGGAGTTGGGATCTCTTAGTCTCCCCCAAGACGCTCCCTGTTAGAGTCCTACTCCAAGGTCAGGCCAGCTTTGTTGTGACTTCATACCCTGAGGACAGTTCTTCAGGCTTTGTTTAGATTCACTGGGGCCTGTTAAGGAGTCTTGGGTGGAGGTCTGAGAATATCCGCTCATTGTGAGCAGCCCAATATTTTCCGTTACCCTTCTCTACCTAGGGCTCAGTGTTGGAGCTCCACCTAGAATCCCCAGTGAGGGGCTGGGGGCGTGGTCAGGGTGGAACCCTGCCTAGAATTCCCCAGTGAGGGGCTGGGGTTTAGCTCTGCTGTGAGTGGGGAAGCCATTGGTTCAACCCTAGGTCTACAAAGGAAACAGGCTGTGGATGGGCACACAGAGCTTACAGCGGCCCTGAAGATAAGCCAGGCACTGAACTCTGGTCTGCGGTCCATATTTGCAATCAGGACCTCTGCAAGGTGACTCTGTGGACTCCCGTGCATCTCTTTGGACATAGGTGCTCTTTACATATTTTTTAAACTTCCATTCCTGCATCGTATGTGCACGTGCCTTGATGTGTGCAAAGATCCGAGGACAACTTGTGGCGCTCAGTCTTCTTCCACCACCGCGTGGGTCCCAAGGCTTGGCGGTGAGCGCCCTCACTCTCTGAGCCATCTCGCGGCCACGGCTCTTTAGGTTTGAGTGGAAATTAGCTTGTGCAGGTTTCTATTCTTGACCAAAGTGGACCATCCTGCTGTCCACACTGTCTCCACACACCAGTCCCCATCAGTGGTGGGTGACACTGTCAGGTGACTCTGTCCCTCTGGATACTGGGCCATGGCACACCAGGGGAGTTCCTGGCATGGAGTTAGTGGAAACCAACGACTTTCTGAGAATCTGTAGGGTTCAGGGCGTTCCCCCAACCCACAGTGTACCCAGTGCCTAGGGGACCCCATCCTGACCATGAACGAGATCCAGTTGCCTTCCAGCTGATCCTGAAGTGGGCAGGGAGCCTCCACCTGGGTGATGCTGGCCTTAGCTGGGCATGGTGGCGCATGCTCATCCCTGCAGAACTGGGAGTTGAGGCAGAAGGATTTCCAGGAGTTTGAAGTCAGCCTAGACTATAGTGTTGAGACGTTCAACCCAAAGTATAAAAGACCTTGAGCGGTTGGTTCTGAGTCCTGAACTCAGCTGTCCTTTGGCCCTGTCCATTCAGAGCTGTGACAGAGCCAGCTCCGGTCCAGTCACCTCACACCCTGGTCCCTGCCTGCTTTGTGCTCTCTTGCCTGTGCCCTGCACCCCATGCAGAGGAAGCCGTCACCCTCTGCTCCCTTCCTTGGCAATCAGTGTTCCTGGGTGACATATTTAGATGGTTGCTATGGTGATGAGGTTGACAGCTTCATGTGGCACAAAAGACGGCCCCGCTTTGCTATATCGAGCCTGCAGAAGACCGGGTGCCTGTGCCACGTGCCCCTGTCAGCGTAGGAAGGGAAGGGGGCTCAGACAGCCCGTCCCACCCACTTGCTCCCCACGGAGGAGCGGCGACCCGCTGGAGGAGGTATGACTGTCACCTTGAAAGATGTGTAGGGAGGAACAGGGGTCACTTAGGGGTGACTGGGTCCTCCAGGGGACACTGGGCTATGCCTGGGGACATGTGTGGCTACCCCAACTCAGAGTGTCCTTGGCATGTGGCGGGTGGAGGCCAGAGATTCTGTCGCATATAATCAGGACCCAGGGTACACGCTGAAAACGGTGCACGGTGTCCCCAGGCTGTGGGAAGCTGGGTCCTCTCCTTGCTCTGCCCATGGCTGTGACAAGCACCTGACACAGACGGCTACGGAAGGAAGGGTTTGTCCTGCACGGTTAGCACCCTCCATCGTGGCCATACCGAGTCCGCAGTCAGGAAGCAGAGAGAGGCAATCGCTGGGCTCCGCCCACGATCCCAGCCCACGAGATGGCATTGCCGCTCGTGCAGGGACACTCGGCTATACCATGTCAAGGTGACAGTGACAACGCCAAGGTCACACTGAGACAGGAGGGTAACTGTGAGCTCGAGGCCAGCCTGGACTGCACCTTGGGATCATGGGACCCCTTCTTCTGGGCCTCCCTGAGAAAAAGTAAGGCAGCCTGGTCCAAGGGTGCATCGGGATGGATTTTGTTTGCTGTTCTGGGCTGGCCTCAAACTCACGGAGATCTGTCTGCCTCTGCCTCCCGAGTGCTGGGGTTAAAGGCGAGCGCCACCACTGCCCGTTCCTGTCTTTCAGAGACCTTGACCCAAAGGGTATCACAGCCATTGGTGAGAGAGATGAAATTTGGAGCCATGGCTGTTGGGGCTTAAAGAAATCAGCTAAAAACTTAATGTCAAAAAAAATTCCTTTTTAAAACCAGCTCTGACTGGGACTGGGGGATTCGGCGCTAAAACTGTGGAACTGGGGTTCGATTCCCGGCATCCCCATGGTGTTTGTGACATCATCTCTGGGTTCTGGTGATCCCTTCTGGACTCTGAGGGCGCTGCGTGCACTTGGTCAGTGTGTGCATGTGCGCGCCTATGTGCATGGGCGTGCATCTGCATGTGCACGAGTGTGCGCATGTGTGTAAGAGGTTTCCTCGTGTGCCCCTCGGTGGCCCGTAGAGTGGATGACAGGGATCATCACGACACTGCTTTCTGAGTGGTCACAGAAACCAGAGCTGCAGCGTCCTCTCCTTCCCACACCGAGTGATCTCTGGAACAAGAGTGGCTCTTGCGAGCTCCGGGCGTTGAGTGGGTGTGGCTGAGGTCTTGTGTAGCATCCTCCCTGTGGCCCCGTGTCTCACCCTGGGGGACCCTCTGTGGTCTGGCCCGGAGCGTGGAAGGACTGGGGTCTGTCTCAGTGATGGCCGGGGTGTCCTGCCCCAACCAGCCCCTTTTCCCTGTGGACTCTCTCTGCCCTTGCGTGACAAAGATGGGAAGTGGTCACAGGGTCCTTGTCGGTCCCGGGTCATCCGTTGGCCGTTGGGGTCCTGGAGTCACTGTGACTAGACTGAGTCAGGACGACCTCGGGGACCCACAGAGCTGTCTGGGGACGCGGGACAGAGTGGACGCTGCTCAACTCCCTCAGGGAACCAGCTCGAGACCCCTAAGAGGACCCTAAGTTATTATTGAAAATTCGGGACTTGCTCCTTCACCATGAGCCCCAGGCGTGTGTCTCTGCCCCCCCCCCCCTGCCCCCGCTTTCCGGTTTCTGGGGCCAGCTGCTCTCCCTCTGCACTCAGCATGCGCCTCAGCTCCTCCAACGACTTAGTGTCCAGCTTGGGTGTGAGCACGTGTGCAACTCTCAGTTGCCTGGGTTCGTGTGAAGTGGCTGGGGTCGTCCCCGTGGATGGACGTGTTGCTCCAGCCGGGGCTCGGTGCAAACAGGATTCTAGCCGCTTCCTGCAGCGGCGCTGCCACCTGCAGGCGGCAGCCAGGATTGCAGCTGCATTTGCAAAACCAAAAACCTCAGAAAGGTACTTGGGTAGAGCGCTCTCCCAGCATGCACCAGGCCCGGGGCACCGCATAAGCCAGCTGAGGCTACATAGTGAGTGAGGACAGCCTGGGCTCAAGAGACCCCGTCTCAAGAGGGAGAAAGATAATATTTTAGGGCTGGAGATAAGAGCACTGACTGCTCTTCCAGAGGTCCTGAGTTCAATTCCCAGTGCCCACATGGTGGCTCACAGTCATCTGTAATGAGTTTGGTGTCCTCTTCTGGCCTGCAGGCATACATGTAGACAGAATACTGTCTACATAACAAATAAATCTAAAAAAAGATAATATTTTAAAAAGGGTTTATAGCCTAGCATGTGATCTCAAGCACTGAACTAGCAGAGGCAGGAGGATTGTGAGTTTGAAGTCAAATATATAGTGAAATCTTGAATCAAATAACATAATATAAAATAAAGTAAGGGCGGGCTAGAGGGCTCAGCAGATAAAGGAGCTTGCTGTCAAGCCTGAGGTTATGAGTTCGAGCCCTAGAACCCACAAGATGGAGACACACACACACACACACACACACACACACTGAATAAGTCTTTGGGGGGTTAAGGTTGGGAAATAGCACAGAAGTGCCCTTCTTTCCCCATGAATCATGCTGGTCAAGTCCAGCATTTATTAAGCTCCCACTGTATACAAACGCTTTCTAGAAATGCCCTGGTGTGACCCTCAGGAGAGGCGCACGGGGACCTGGGAGGTTGGCCACCACCCTCTGATGGGCAGTCCCCTGCCTCCATTCTGCAGACGACTGTCTCTGACCCGTCCATGCCCACCCGCCACTTCCCTTTCAAATGCGCAGTAGGTGAATTATGAACTCAGCCTCATTCTTTCGGTAAATTGCTGTTCCCATCCGGCCCGCGCAGGCCGAACCCCCGACCTGACACCCGCGGTGCCAAATTAACGCCCAGTGTTTCTCTTCCAGGGAGCGAAGGCTTCTGGTTGGAACCTCGGTGCTGGGACGGTGGACTCGGTACAGGTAGGTGCTGTGCTCGGTGCCTTGTTCGGCTTTGAAGCCTGGGTGGGAGTGAGGAGTCCTGCGGGACAGGATCCGCAAGGACGGGGAAGGGTGCCATGGTGCTGTGGGGTGACCTCGGCCCCAGACAGCCATGTTCTCTCCACCCCAGAGTTTGCCAGACGCTTTGGTGCTGCACCCCGTTTCAAGCACCCCATTTCTCACATCCCATTTCCTGTACCCCATTTCCCATGCTTACGTTTCCTGCACCCCTGTTTTCCTACCCCCTTTCCCAGCCTTTGTTTTGTCTCCCGTACCCCTTTCCCATACTGTTTCCTGCACCCCAATATCCCGCACCTCTCTCTCCACCCCTGTTTCTCTCACGCCTGTCTTCTGCATCCTGTCCCGCACCCCGTTTTTTACACCCCATTTCCCACACCCCTATATTCTGCACCCTATCCCGCACCCCGTTTCCTACACCCCCTTTCCCACAAACCCGTTTCCACACACCTGTTTCCTGCACCCTATCCCGCACCCCATTTCTCACACCCCGTTTCCCGCTGCCATTTCCTCATCTCCAGGGTCATGGTTTTGGGGGTTGACTTTGCTTTCTGCACCTGTTCCGTACCATGCCGGCACCCCGCTCCGCCCGGTTAGCTCCCGGTCCTGAGGCTGGGGTGCGCTGTCGGGAAAGGGGGTCTCCGGACGTGGCCATGGTTTGAGACAGGGTCTCATTATAGAGCACGGGCGCCACCTTCCGGCCTCCGCAGGTACTGCACATACGGGGTATAATCCCGTGCCTGTACCTCTTCCTAATTTAGGGGTACATTAGAAGACAGCGCTGTATTGACCGTGTGACTCATACCATTTGAAATGTAACCGCATGTGCCTGTCCCCTGACACCGGGAAGGAGGAGGCTGGAGGGAACATGGTCAGCCTCAGCCATGTAGTGAATTTGAGGCCAGCCTGGACTACCTTTCTCTCTAAAATTAAAATAAGATAAAATTTAAAAAGTAAGTCCGGCATGACACCTATAATCCCAGCACTCGGGAGGCAGAGGCAGGCGGATCTCGGTGAGTTCGAGGCCAGCCTGGTCTACAAAGCGAGTTCTAGGTCAGCCAAAGATACACAGAAGGACACAGAGAAACCCTGTCTCAACAAACAAAGATTAAAAAGATGCATTTATGTTGTCAAGGACCCTATGTGATATCAGGGAACGCTCGTGGCGGCCATAACTGGGGAAACCCTGGCATGGAGCGGCCAGAGGTTGCTGGGGGTACCCAGGGCTGTGTGCCCCACAGAGAAGCCTCAGCCCTGTCAGTCACGCCGGGGTCCTGAGGGTGGGGATACAATACTGACTTGAGTCTTTCTCTCATGAGCCCCTTGAAGAGTGGGGTGCTCCCTAACTTCCGACTTTTTCTTTCCTTTTTTTTTTTTTTGATTTTTCGAGACAGGGTTTCTCAGTGGCTTTGGAGCCTGTCCTGGAACTAGCTCTGTAGACCAGGCTGGTCTTGAACACACAGAGATCCGCCTGCCTCTGCCTCCCGAGTGCTGGGATTAATCCTTTTTTTTTTTAAAGTAACTTTATTTTTATTTTATGTGCACTGGTGTTTTGCTGTCTGTGTGAGGGCCGCTGGGCCCCCAGAAATGGAGTCACAGGTGGTTGTGAACCCCATGTGGGTGCTGGCAATTGAACCTAGGTCTTTTGCAGGAGCAGATGGTGCTCTAACCACTGAGTGTCCCTCCAGTCCAGTATGGACCCTTCTAAAAATAATTACATGTATTTATATTTGCACATGTGTGTGGGTGGGTGCGTGCATGTGTGTGCTCACATGTGGAGGACAGCGGACAATTTGAAGGAGCCGGGTCTCTTTCTTTCCACGGTCGGGAATTGAACTTGGTTCCTCAGACTCGGAGGCCATCCATCTCCTGAGACATTTTGTACTTTTTCCGGATTGGTAGCAGCGCCTGCCATTACCACACATGACCACCAGGGGTCAGCAGAGGCCCGTGAGGTTCTGCACCAGGGGACTCTCGGGGAGCTTGGATAAGAGAAGGTGGGAGGTTCAGCTGTTGGCCATGCTGGGTGACAATCATCCCCTTGGAAGAAGTGATGCCTGAGAAAATTAGGCCACCCAAAGTACAGAGGGTGGAGGCGAGATTGAGGGCCGGGGTGATTAACAGGGCTGCAGGGTATCAGGGAAGCCAGTCTCCATAAAATCAATCTCCGGTCTTGACGCTCTGAGGATCCACATACAGCAAGAGCCCCGGGCGGCCCCAGCACAAGGGTTTTCTCTTCACGGTTCCTTCTTTCTTGCAGTCTGGGAGCATTTCTGCTGGGAATGTGCGGGCGGGGGGCGGGAAGGACGGGCACGTGACAGGGGCTGCCCTGGCGCAGGTGGCTCAGACTCTGGCTCTTGCACACACACACACACACACACACACACACACACACACACAAGTCTGGGTTGACTGCCCTCTGGGTTTGTTCCCGGCCTGTTGGAATTGTGGTATTATCAGGTCTCTGTGGACAGACCATCCTGCTCGGCCCACAAGGTCCCAGCAGCCCCCCAGAACACCAGACACACCCGTGTGTTGTTGTGGGGCTTCACCCGGAGACTTGCCAGATGCGCTCCTGCTGTGCCCAGGGTGCCTAGAACCTTCTCCTTGCCCAGTATGTAGCTGAGGATGCAGGAAACTTCTCACAGCCTCAGCTTCCAGGATGTGTTACCATTATCCTACCCCCGCCCTCCAGGGCATCCTGGGTGACACACTGGGGTGCTCCTGGCATTGTTGGCCGAGACTGTGGAAGCTGCTGTGCCCCGTAGAGCCAAGGGCACCCCACAGGGAACAGCCCTGAACAGTGTCCCCAGCACCCGGCGCGCTATGCTGCTTAAACCTCTCCTGCTGGGGTAGGTCCTGTCACCAGGTTTCCATGTGGGTAGAGTCCCAGGACCTCAGTGGGGACAGGTGGCTGGGTGACACTGTCTCCTGGGGTCCCTGAAGCAGGGCATCTCCACTGAGAACGATCTTCCCCTAAGATACCGCTGGCCTCTCAGGTCAGTTATTGAATGGCTAATGAAGACCCTGACCAAGAACGACCTGGCCCCAGATGGGGTCTCATGTAGCCAAGGCTAGCTTCAGATACCCCTAATATAGCTAATAATGACACCGGGCTCCTGATTCTCTGGTCTGCACCTCCTACGTGCTACATGACAGGTGTGTGCTACCTACCACACGCTAGAAATAGAGCCCAGGGCTTCCCGAATGCCGGGCAGCTGAGCTATAGGACTCTGCTAACAGAGTTGCAGGCACCCTACCCACTATGCTACATCCTCATCCCAGGATCATCCCTTTTAGTCTCTGCGGTGTCCTTTGGTCCCCGCCAAGCCCTAATGAGCAGCTCTCTCTTCAAAAGCCAGTCCACCCAGAAAGAGCTAGAGCCTTCCGTTGCCGCGAGTGTTGTTGTTAGGCAACCGCTTTTAGCATCCGCTTCCCCCAGAGTGGTGCTGATGCAGGGATAGGTCATTCCCGGGTTTGCTGGGCCTCAGCCTCCACGGACTCAATGCACGTGGGGTGACAGTCACGTATGTATGTGGCAGGGGTGGTGGGGACGTGGGGCAGCTGTCAGAGGCTGGACACTGCCCACAGCGGTGGGTCCGGATTTAAGGTCACCTTTATGTGTGTGGGAGAAAGGGTGTAGAGAGCCCATGGTGGCCAGAATGGGGTGCCAGGTTTCCTGGTACTGTAGTCACAGTTGGTCGTGAACGTGAGTGCTGGATCGGTCCCCAGCCCGTCCGGGTGGACCCATGACATGAGGGTGCTGTGTTGAGCGCTGTAGCCTTGCAGAGGACCCAAGTCTGACTCCCGTGCTCTGCCCTCTGAACTCAGACCCCAGCCCCTTCCTTCCCTTTTAAATACTCATCTTTGTGCATGAAGGATCTCTCCACTTGGAGTGCCAACGTGCATGCGTGCGTGTGTGTCTGCGTGCACAGAGGGGTGTGTGTGCGTGCATGCTGTGTGTGTGCACAGAGGGGTGTGTGTGTGTGTGTGTGTATGCGTGCCGTGTGTGTGCGTGCACGTGTGTGTGCACAGAGGGGTGTGTGCGCGCATGTGTGTGTGCGTGTGTGTGCATGCGTGCCGTGTGTGTGCATGTGTGTGTGTGCATGCACGTGTGTGTGTGTGTGCATTTAAATGTTTTTAATTAAAATATAATTACATTGCCAGGAGGCGGTGGTGGCGCAGCCTTTAACCCCAGCACTCGTGAGGCAGAGACAGACGGGTCTCTGTGAGTTCGAGGCCAGTCTGGTCTACAGAGCGAATTCCAGGACAGCCAGAGGGGCCGATCTCATTTGACACACAGGAGGACATTGTCTCCTTGCCGTAGTTGTTAGCTGTCTGTGACTCTTTGTGTAGAATGGACCCGTGAAATCTGCCCACACATTAACATTTGTTCCAGTCTTGGCTGTGCAGCCATTTCTAGGAGAAATGCCTTTCACTGAACACCAGGACTCCTTCTGAGGCCTGGCCACCCACCCTTTCTCCACATTGTCCCCAGGGAAGCAACTGAGCACAGATGGTCCAGCCTGCAGCCTAAGTGACGCCTCCTGCATCCTAGCCCAGGCTAGAGTGTTTGTGCGTGTGTGTATTCGTGTGTGCGCGTGTGTGTATGAGCGTGTGCGTGTATTCGTGTGTGTACGAGTGTGTGCGTGCATGCGTGTGTATGAGTGTGTGTGTATGCGTGCGTGTATGCGTGTGTGTATGAGTGTGTGTGTGACCGTGGTGGGTGGGGGCTGTGCGCGTGTGTGTACGAGTGTGTGCTTGTATGCGTGTGTGTACGAGTATGTGTGTGTATGAGTGTGTATGAGTGTGTGTGTATGAGTGTGTGTGTATGAGTGTGTATGAGTGTGTGTATGAGTGTGTGTGTATGAGTGTGTGCGTGTATGAGTGTGTGTATGAGTGTGTGTGTATGAGTGTGTGTGTATGAGTGTGTGTGTATGAGTGTGTGTATGAGTGTGTGTATG